TTAGACGAATGACGATACATGGCATCGCGACATTAGCAAACAAAAGATACCAAATGCTTGGCTGAGGACTAGTTTCGATTTTACGGACTTTGTTTGCCATCTAAAAGGTCTCTCCTTTTTCTCCATGCCTTCGAAATAATGGAACCAAGCCTCTCCCATGGCTTCCTTCTGTCTAAACTCCGTACCAGTCCCCCCACCTCATCCTCGTAAACTCACTGAAGCTTCTTCCTCTTCTTTACTTCTTGATGGTAACAACTATACCCCAGCGGGGGCTTTGAAACCCATAGTTGTCTACGGGAATCCCCCGACTTTTGTCTCTGCTCCTGGTCGCCGAATTGTGGCTGGTTCGTTCTGAGTTTTCTTGTTTCTGCTACTTTGTTTTTGTGATCAATAACCAATATGGTTAGCAATTCCGAAGTCGTGTTCTTTTGTCTATTTCATCTGGTTTCTTTGTTACATTATGTTCCTTCTTCTTCCGGTCTTCCATGTGGTCTCAGTCATGATTTATTGTCCAGTTTCCCATTCCAGCTGGGTTTGTGCAAATGTGTGTATCAGTATATGGATTTGTCTTTCGTTGAGTATGGGGTCACTATCTCCCTGACTGTTCAGTCTTGGTGTGCATTGTTGAATCTGGTACTTTTGTAAGTTACATCGTGAAAGCCTCATTGAGGCATTATCCCTTTCTATTTTCGCTTCTCATAGTCAGTGCCAGAGGTCTTATTATGCTTTTAAGTAAGAAAGTAATATGCGTGGCCCGATTTTAGCACATTTGCCCTGTGATGGAATATGACCAACTGGCATAAACTTTCATTTTGATAGATTCACCTATATTAAAACTCTGACAAAAGCAGAACTGATTTACTGATGTTTCCTTGGCGCCTTAAAACGTTAATGTGTGGATCTGTCCTAGCTCTGACTTCTTTGTTCACAGAATCTTCTTCATGTGTCTCAAGCACCCTCTCTCTGTAGCCTTAGAAGTGTGAGCTGATTATTGTACCCAAAATTTGTAACTATTTAATTATTTGATTGATAATTGGTTGACTTAGATTTTGACATTTTAGTAAGGTTTTCCATCTTCATGTGATGGTCACTGCTAGGATGATGGTCTTCAAGCACGTCCTTTTCTGATAATTTGACCTAGTTTTGATCTTGATAACATTTCATTTGTGTTTTAATATGTCTCATTGAGGTTTGTTTTCTTTGATAGTCGGAGATCTACATGGAGATCTTAGGCAAACTAGATTTGCGCTTGAGATGGCTGGTGTATTAAGCTCTGACGGTCAAGACCTCTGGACTGGTGGAGAAACTGTATGCTTCCTTTATTTTTCAAAATGCATACCTGGAATCTTGGTTAGAATAAGCAATGATATTGTATTTTAACAAAATTGTTGGAAAATGGAAAATTACTTTTTTTTTGGCCACCAAAGGCCAAGTCAACTTAATAGTGTTGTGAACCATGTACATATGATAGTACAGAACGGGGAACTTTATTGTTCTTGCTTCTCTATGCTTAAGGAAAAACTAAAAATAGATTAGCACTATGGTTAGCATAGTTTAACAGGTGACAATTTATTTTTCTCTGTATAGGTGTTGGTTCAGCTTGGAGATGTACTAGACCGAGGTGAGGATGAAATTGCCATCTTATCTTTGCTGCGATCATTGGACAAACAAGCGAAAGCTAAAGGTGGAGCTGTGTTTCAGGTTTGTGCCATGAAAAAATAAAAATACTTAGGAGATGAGCAAGATAACAATTCCATACCCTATACAGCATGTTTTCCTACTTTGTTTTAATTGTATTTCGGATTCATTGAAACGTGCATACTAGGTATTTAAAAAATTTAAGAATTTTGATCTTTTTTCTTTCTGTTGCATATCTTTGTTTAAGCGATTTTCCATTGATTAATGTTCATTTAGGTAAATGGAAACCATGAGACTATGAATGTGGAAGGGGATTTCAGATATGTTGAATCTGGGGGATTTGATGAGTGCAATGATTTTCTGGAGTACATGCATGATTCAGATGATGACTGGGAAGAGACATTTGCTGGCTGGATAGATGTCGCTGAAAGATGGAAAGAAGATCAGAGGATTTCAAGGAATTATTGGGGTCCCTGGAATTTAGTGAAGGTATTATAATTCTCTATCTTGCATTCAGTTTTTGATAAATTCAAATTGGAAGGACTTAGCCTCACACCATTCCCACAGAAGAAAGAATTTGAATTTCACATAAATCACATGTTGAATTCGTTTTCCATACAGATAACTTGTACTAAACCAGATCATCAGAACACTCTTCAAAGGACTAATTCAATTTTGAACTCATTAAAATTGTACTCCTGAATAAAGGCATATGGATGGAAAAGTTAGTGAACTTTAAGAATATCTTCTAGTACCATTTAGACATCATATGTTACTTCTTAAAGTGACATTTGGTACTATTTGGAAGTGGAGCATTACGATATTGCTTCAAATGTGATATTTTGTTGTTTTCTGATAATGTTTTCCAACAATTAGGACAGAGGCAAAAAGGAGTCATTGCCAGATCAATCCTTTTTAGGCCTGGCGGTTCATTGGCACATGAGTTAGCAAGGCATCCTGTTGTACTCAAGGTCAATGACTGGGTTTTCTGTCATGGCGGGCTTCTTCCTCACCATGGTAAAAATTCTTCTGACGTTCTAATTTATCTTATCCTGATCTTGAGTCTGTACTGCCAACTGTTATGTCATGGCTGCTAATCCTGTTTCGAGTATGCAAAATCACTCTTGTTTGAATTTGAAATGCTTGATAATTGTCTTTGTGATTTTCTTCTCCTGTCTCTTGCCTGTAGTTGAATATGGCGTGGAGAGGATGAATAAAGAAGTATCTGACTGGATGAAAGGTCTGAGTGAGAGTGATGACAGTCCCAAAGTCCCTTTCATAGCCACTAGAGGCTATGACAGTGTTGTTTGGAATCGTTTATATTCAAGAGATCCATCAGACTTGGTGGACTTTAAGACTAAACAGGCAAGTACACAAATGTGGTAGTTTTAATTTGCAGCAAATAAATATGAAGATCTGATAAGGTAGTGGGATTAGTAGAAACATGCATCGTTTCCACCCTCAAGCTCAAATGCCATGATCAGTGCAAAGATCCTTATTCTTTCTCTACTGCTTTTGGTTCCATTTTGCAGTGAATGTCTCGCATATTTATTTGTTTAAGTTGCACGTTCAAATGATGGACCTACATTCCATTGTCTCCTCCAATGTATGCTTCTAAGGGGCCCAGAGGAGTCATGAAACTCATTGGGTTCTAATGACTCAGAAATATCTCTCCAGAATTTGACGCTGAACATGGTGATTTTCAGGTATATTCGATTCTCGAAGAGACACTACAAGCATTTGATGCTAAGGCCATGGTTGTTGGGCATACTCCTCAAACTATGGGTGTAAATTGGTGAGGAAACAATATAATTCTTAACCTTGCTCAAAATAATTTCAAGTAGTGGAGATCTTTGGGTGGAGTAATAATTTGGTATCAGATTTGATATGTAACTTAATAGCTGTCTAAGTATTGCACTTCGGAATATTTTAATGCAGCTGAACTCAAGTCTTTTTCTTTCTGCAGTAAATACAATTGTAGCATATGGCGTGTGGATGTTGGAATGTCTAGTGGAGTTCTTAATTCGAGACCAGAGGTATAAATAAGCCGTGGGCCAGTGCATAGAGCGATGTTTCTTCTTTATGAGCCACTAAAAGCATTCAAATGGGTGACTAAATGATGTTAAGCACCTTATTGTTATTTACTAAATATTATATTTGATAAATGCAACCATGCCCATTTCATGATAGGAAAGCATTGAATCTCTTATGGGAAGTGACTCCCTTTGATGCACGGGGACCGTCTAAATTTGGTCAATTATGTCACTTGCTTTCGAGCCATAATAATACCTGTTTGTGCCTCTTTCAATCAGTTCTCATTTGAATTAATGTAATAGTTCATGGGATTCATATATGAATTTGTTTTTCCCAGGTTCTGGAAATTAGAGACAATAAAGCAAGAGTTATTAGGAGCAAAAGGGATACATACAGCGAACTTCAGGTTCTTGAATATATTTAGAGACAAATGATTGTCGACCAGGTAGGACAAATTTCAAGCAGTTTGCCTCTTGCTTGTTCTGTCATAGTATCAAATTGGAAATATGGAAGTAATGTTGCTACAATATCTTCTTCTTCTTGTTTGCAAAAGTTGAAATTTCTAAAGCAGAGTGATCTGTGAAGCACGGCATCATTTTCAGTCAGTAATACTTGGAAAAGGAACAGAAAGAATTTATGAAGTGACTTGAACATTTTTTGCCACTCCATAAAATTTTTTTAGTGTTCTATGGATGGGCTGTGTTCTGCATTGTGGAAATCCAATGTCATAGTGGTCGGATTCTCGAGGTTCCTCCCCACTCCCTGTAAGGACAACGTAATCCCAGTCTTCATGTTGGGTCACACTAATACTAATCTAATCCTCATGCCGATGCAACTTGGTGGAGCATTATAATGCAGAGGCATTTCAATTTGATAATGCAACAACGGTCATGATGATAATGATGATTGTCATTGCTCTTCCATGCAATCTTGATTCTTTATTTCTTACCGTGTATCTGCGGGAAGTGCTGGTCTCCTGGTAGTTCCAACAGTGGTAAATTTATCAGCTGTTGATTTGCTGAGCACACTCATTTCTTGCTTCCCTAGAGCTAGAAACTCGTAAAGACTGGCACAGTTCACCAACTTTGGCAATTCAAAGGGTTTTTGCGCGTACTATTCTCCAGTGTTTTCGTCTTTTTGATATAAATTTACAGACCTTTTTAAAAAAAATCATAAGGTTTAAATCATTGATCTCTAATTCTCTATTCATATTTATCCCCCAATTTTCTGGACGAATTTTAGTATTTGTACTCAGAAATCACTTGCCACAACTTAAGGATTATGGTTTATCATAATTACGGTTGATCTACAGTGTGTGTGTTTTTTTTTTTTTTTTGGGGGGGGGGGACAGTGAGTGTATCGTGTCATAGCCTGAGAAATACCAGTAATATCATCCTTAAATGTGTAAAACTAAGGCCTCATTTTACAACCATGGTCTCGCAAAGTATATTGATGAATGCATTACCATGTCTAGTAATTATTGTGTATTGATCACTTTTTTTTTTATACAAAAAGAGCAGAAAATTAATTGCTAATGCTTAAACAGTCTTGAGCAACAGAGCTAGTAGATTCCTGATAATAAAAGGATCACTAAATTGATGAAATCCAGGCTATGTTGCCAAGGCCTTCCGTGCAAGGAAACCTGCTACTTTGTTAGCAAAATGAATAACATGAACGATTGAAATTTGCCAATTCCTCTTTAGAGTTGCACGAATTTCTTCAATAAGCCCTTTGAATTGGTGTAAGTCAATGTTTCCACCCTTGACCACGTCCACTGCATCACTAGAATCATTTGCAACTACAACTTTATGAAATCCAAGGCCCAAAGCCAACTTAATACCTATGAAAATCTCCTAAAGCTCTGTACTCAAAAGTCTGTACCTACTTAGTTCATAAAGAAATTTGAAATGAAATTTTCTTGGCTATCACGCATAACACCTCCACATCCTCCATACTAACTAGTTGGGATGAATGAGCCATCCACGTTAACCAAAATCCAATCTTTTGGGGGGGGGGGGTGTCCAAATAGTCAAACTTCTATCTGGTGATTGCCAATACCAGTTCACTTATGGTTAGCAGTGCATACAACACGTAAGCTTTGGATAATTGCTTTAGCTTGAGCTTGAATAGACTCATTGAACATTTGTTTACCTTTAAAGGTACGTATATTCTAACATCACCATATAAGCCAACACAGGATGGTGAAAAAAGAGCTCCAGTCATCATATTGTTCATTACCTAAGTTGTTGAGATTCCACTAACGCCAAGATATGGTGTCAAGAGAAAAGAACATTTGACGTTGCCTTGGGCTGATCATCTCATACCAAAGTTTGTATGCCATAAGGCAGTCTTGTAAGACATGAATAAGGTTTTCCTGCTCCTTATTACACTCAGAACATAGGCTATCATTGGTCATTTTTCTACAGCATCTTATCTAGTTTGTTAACAGACGGTCATGCAGACAAAGTTGAAGGAGGTTTTTACATCTCTGTGGAGCTTTAATCTTCCAAACTTTCTCCCAATTAAATATCCTATCATGACCTAGTTCTTGAGAGAATTATAAGCAGAACAAACAATAAAGTTATTGTGTTTCTCCTATTTCCAGTGTACATTGCTGTTATCATGTGATCTCTCCAGTCCTTCCTCAACTTTCTTCTATACACTTTTAATTCTTACCTAGATGTTTGAGCCAGGACGTTGCATTTGAATGGTTGGAGGAAGATCCAATCCACATTTGTACTTCTCATGAATAACTAGAACCCACAGTCATTTGGTTTCTTCACCGGGTTCTATCCTAACTTCATTAAGAATGCTTAGTTTTAAGTCCAAGCTTTCTTGAGACCTAATCCTCCATGCTTCTTATTTGTACACGCTTGATCCCACGAGATTAGATCTGTTTTCCAATTCTTTGCAGTGGTACCCTAAATAAAATCTCTATTACAATATCTTGTAATTCACAAGTACTAGCTAGAAGTATAGATGTTTGCATAGCATATCCCAAAATGGCAAAGGTAACAGAAGCCACCAACACCACTCTACCCGCCATAAAAAGAGCAGAAGCTTTTCAATTTAAGAGACGTTTCTTAACTTTATCAATAACTTGAGCAAAGTATGCTTATTAACTCGATGGTTATGAAGAGGAACTCTGAATATTTACCCAAATCATCCGTCAAGGAGAAGCCTAGCATTTCACTTAGCTCCTCTCATTTGTTATTATGAATATAGCTAGGGAAGAAAATTTTGGTTTTGGCTGCATTCACCTTCATCCCAGAACAATCACAGAATGTTTGAAGACAATTTTTAATAATTAGAGCTCATTCCAAAGATGCCTCTGCAAACAATAATATATCATCAACAAAAAACAAATGAAAATAAGGAGACCTGATCTTTCCATCCATATAGGATTCCACTTCTGCTCCTCCATAAGCTGGCTGATGAGGCGTTCCATACAAATAACAAACAAATATGGGGAAATTGGATCACCTTGACATACTCTCCTTAAAAGACTAAACTCATCCGTTCTCATGCCATTCCATAAGACTTGTGTAGAGGTAGACGGTACACAATTTTTGATTAAACAAACCATATGAACAAGCAACCATAGATCTTTCAAACAAGAAGTCATGAAGTTCCAATTAAGTTGGTCAAAAGCCTTTTCAAGGTCATAAATCTATTGATCACCTTTAAAAAGCACTTGCAATATTTCGCTATTGAAATCCCTAAAATGCCCTTATTTTACATGAATGCACCAGTGAACTTTTTATCTTGGGTGCATTGTTGGCCCCCAAAAAAATGAAATCACATTAAATATATATAATGCTAATCCGATTGTTTTCTTTTAATTCAAATATATATATATATATATATATGTATTTCAAATAATAGGCGTGTGACTCATTCATTACATTGAGGATTATTATGTTTTTATATATTATTGTATGGAGCTTCAACAGTCACCCTGTTAATATCAACGAGTTATGAAGAGTGTGCATCAATATATATTTGATAAATATATTGAATTCTTGATTATTATTTTGGTTACATGTTGAATTATTGATTATTGAATTTGAGGATTGTCGATTCATCCAGCCGATGGTAGTTGGCCGGTTTCTTTGGTTTTGTGGACATCTCTAACGTCTACTTCGTAAGCTCCGCCTCTGCTAAAACTCCTTCTTCAACCTCAGACTGAACCATTTTCTCTCTATATGTAACCCCTGCACACACATCTAATGCACACTTTGCTTCCCCATTCCATTATTCTTCGATCCCCTTCGCACCCTCCCTTAATCTCCAACATGACTTCTTTCCTCACTCTTCCCTCGATTTCTCTCAAGAAGCTCCATTCCCCTCCCGCTTGCTCGCAGCCCTCCCTCCCTTACAATTCCCTCTGCTTCCTAAATGGGATTCCGAGTCTTGGTTTTAAACATTCTGATCGATCTAGGGTTTTCACGAGCGTATCGGTCGGATCTCAGACGGCTGTCGATGATGCTTTGTTCTCTGATTACAAGCCTTGCACCGCTTTTCTGTTCCCTGGCCAGGTACATTTTATGCAACTTCGAGTCTTTGCGTTTATCAGAAAATAGAAGTGTCATTGTTGAAAATGTTTTTGTTATTATTCTTTTGGAATATAGAAAAGATGTGAAATTGAATGTTTTATGCCGAGAAATCTGCACTGTGATGTTCTGGTTTTGTCTGTCTATATCCGGGGCAAAATTCACATTCGAAAGGTCTACCGACCAAGGAAATAATAAAAGGGTAAATCAGTTTATAAACACTTACTTTTCAGTAGCCGGTTTAATTGAACTTGGAGCCCGGCTTTGGGCACTGCTGTAACTAGGAGATGGTGTTTTACGTAATGACCAGAAGTTCATCAATTCCTTGGCAGATAATTAGAATTCGATGGGTTAGTTCAGGTTTCAAGCCAATCACCTGCATAGCAATTGCAATCAATTTTTTCCCTTTTTTTTATATTCAAATTAATAACGCATGTAACAGAGAAGACAACATATTTGATTCATTAGCATCTATTAAAATTTTTCTTATGTAGAATGTAAAAAGTACTATAGGTTTAAGGTCCAAATATTGCTGTGTTATTTGCACGGTTATACTAATTAAAAGAAATATATTTTTGATGTGCATGAAGGGTGCACAAGCAGTTGGAATGGGAAAAGAAGCTCAAAATGTGCCTGCTGCCGCATCACTGTACAGAAAAGCAAATGACATATTAGGGTAGTTATCCACTAAAATTTCTCAAGTTGATGTTGTGGTGTCTATTGCGAATTCAATAACATATCTTCTGGATTCAGGTTTGATCTTCTCGATCTATGTATCAATGGACCAAAAGATAAGTTAGATTCAACAGTTATTAGCCAGGTATTCTGCCTCTGCTTTTTATCAATATAAGCTATGATATATCCTGTGCTTTTAGAAGTTTCATTGTTCCACCCAATTAAAATTTGCTCAATAATGGTAATTCAAAATGGAATATTTTAAGGTCTTCTATTATTTGTTTTAAGAAGGGATTGGGGGATGGAGGGGATCTAAACTTTAATTAGAACTAATGATACTTGTCTATCAATATGCTAATATGAATACACCATCTTGTTCTTAATGCAGTGACAGTTTGTTGTAATGATTATTTCAAATTTCAATAACTCAATATTTACCATCTGATTTTCTACTTTCTCAGCCAGCTATTTATGTCACAAGTCTAGCTGCAGTGGAGCTACTACGTACACGTGATGGAGGCCAGCAGATTATTGACTCTGTTGATGTTACGTGTGGTTTAAGCCTGGGAGAATATACTGCTCTGGCATTTGCTGGAGCTTTCAGGTGAGGTTTCCAAATTAATTATACGTACGTAATAGAATCTCATCTATCATAAAAGCTGTACAATATGAAAGAAATAAACATTGCCTCTGTAGGACCTTTTTTTGCAATGTCACTTGTGTGATTTAAGTGGTGGTCCTACTTATTTTGATGTTCGGAGTGTTCTTATTTGGAGAATTCCATAGATACATGAGTATGTGATCCCAACTGTGAGATACTTCTGAGCGCCAATGTTGGTGAAGAAGGAAGAAGAATTTACCTTCTGGTCCTGTCCTTACCTGTGTGATTTTACATATATGCATTGTGTAATTGATATGCCTTTGTACCCATATGATTGAAATATTTTAAAATGGTCAACATTTCTTAGCTAACGTGCTGTTGACCCCATGTTTTATTTGATTTGTAAGCTTTGAAGATGGACTAAAGCTGGTCAAATTGAGGGGTGAAGCCATGCAGGTAAGCAGCCTCTGTTCCTTGTTTAAGACTATCTGGATCGCATAAATTCATTGTTTCCATGCTTGATATTTTCCCTTCATTCAGGAAGCTGCTGATGCTGCTGAAAGTGCCATGGTTAGTGTGATAGGACTGGATTCTGAGAAGGTCCAGCAATTGTGCGATGCAGCTAATCAGGAAGTTCCTGAAGCTGAGAGGGTTCAAATTGCAAATTACCTGTGCACTGTAAGTTTAATATGTACCTGCCTTGTAAATTTAATCAACCTAGTCTGGATTATGGTTTAAAATTTATGATGAGCACCTAACACATGTTGACTATTTTATATTTTGGTAGGGAAACTATGCTGTCTCTGGTGGCATAAAAGGAATAGAAGCAGTGGAAGCAAAGGCAAAGTCTTTCAAGGCTCGAATGACAGTATGAATCTTGTCCCCAATCTCACTTGTCTTTTGCTAATTACCGTCTTAGAAATAACATCACTTCCTCAATTTTGCAGGTGCGTCTTGCTGTTGCTGGTGCTTTTCACACTGGTTTCATGGAACCAGCTGTGTCAAGATTGGAAGCAGCATTGGCAGCTACAGAGATTAAAACCCCAAGAATTCCAGTCATCTCCAATGTCGATGCAAAGCCCCATGCAGAACCTGACACAATAAAGAAGATATTGGCGCGCCAGGTATACTTACTACTACTGATAGCTTGTGCCTGCCAACCGTGAACTGGAAAATTGAAATAATTACACCCTGACTTCGCTTTGCAGGTTACTTCCCCTGTTCAATGGGAAACAACAGTGAAGACTCTCCTAACCAAGGGGCTGAAGAAAAGTTATGAATTAGGACATGGAAAGGTAAGAAACTTAGACGGCAAGTACTAGCATGATACTATGATAGTGTATTGTTCACAATATCTTTTCTCCTGATATCTGGTAGGTCATTGCTGGGATTGTCAAGAGAATGGATAAAGGTGCTGACATTGAAAATATTGGTGCTTGAGAAGACAGTGACGCCTGGATTCTCTTTCAGTGGCTTGCAAGGAATACACGGTTAAATCTGTAGTAATTTTTTTAAAACGAAATTATCAGCTTGTGCTAAATCGAGTTGACAGAGGCAGAAGTTTCTTCATTGGCAAAGAGGAGTTATAACTTGTAATCAGAGTTAGGCGTCAATTTTGTAATGAAAAATTTATTCTCGGATTGGCAGCAGCATGCTTCGATTTGTTACAGACAAGTTACTGTACTTGTGGCAATAATTCAGCTTGTGGCAACCATCTGGAAATGATAACCTCTCCTGTAATGAGAAGACACAAACTCATAAATCATAATGCATTTGGCCCAAGAACAAGATCTGCATCTAATGATCACCTGCTCCATGAACTGCATCTTGTTGAAGGAACCAAGTAACGGCCTTCTCTTGTTGCGAGCAGCAGAAAGCATGCTTCATCTCTATTTCTCAAATATTCCCACCCTCCTTTCCAGAACAAAATTCCATTAAAGAATATTTTATATGGGCCTCGTGATTACTCGCTTTCCTCCTTTCTCTAGCAGTCCACACAACTACTGACCTGCCGTCCATGAAATGCTGTGCTGCAAAATATCAGCACCTCTGTTACTTGCTGAAATTGAAGAGAAATGAGGCCCCTGATCATACGTCGAAGCAACTATTTATCAAGGAAACGTCTGCAGAACCTGCTTGGAGCCTCTATCGGATTCCTCTTATCACTTTCATGGATAATTCTATTCAGGTAGGCCAGATAACATTCAATATTAAAACAGTGGTACGAATCTTCAATTTTGTGATTGACCTGTTCCTTGTCCTTGAGAACTGAATTTGCAGCTAGACTATAATATCCCATTCCCGAATAAGGTCAATCTTAAAGGGAAGGGAACAATTGAACCATCAATTATTCAGCAAAACAACATTGAAGGAGGATATGGTTCATAGATTCAAAATGGAGGAAGCAAAAGGACACGCACTCTCCACTTGAATTTGATACTGTTGCGACATATCAGCCACAAGCAAACCCCAATACAGATTTCTAGACAAACAAGATTGTTCTCTTTTATTTTATTTTGGCCAGGAAAGACTTCCAAGCAGTGAAAGTAGTACCAATGTGCCTAGCCTAATCTGCTCCATCGTAACTAAATAAGTATTTCACTAAATTCGTAGGATCAACACTCAAACCAAAATATGATACTTATCCAAACTTTAATTTAAACAAAGCAAAAATGAATGAGACAAAGAATCTGCAACTTTTTTAACTCTACATGCCATCAAAGGCAAATTCGCGCGAACATTTGACAATTCAGAGCTGAAATCAATGGAGAATATTATGATTAACTAGAGTGTGTTGTACTGTTGTTCAGTTCTGTAGTGGGGTTGAAGTGTTTGGTGGTTGCCTCGACCTGCGAAGCTGATCAATCCAGCGATCCTCGGGAACATGAGCGGCCCAATCGGGAACAATTCCACCAAAGGAGACGCCACGCATCGCCTCCCTCACTCTCGTGGCGTTCTCCGCCGACAGCGGCTGATTCCTCCGGTTCTCATCCTCTCTGAATGCCCTCCGAATCGCCCGCTCCGACGCTTCTCTCATCCTTTCCTCTTCCTCATCCTCGCCGCTCATTTGCTCCACGACATCGTTTAGAACCAGGGACGACATCCCATTCACCGTTCCATAAGAGCAGTAGCCGTTCGGAAGCTGGTGGAAGTGATAGCTATGCTCTTCGTTTGAGTTGACGTCACTGCCGCCTCTATCTTCGTCGTCGGGGACGTTGGAGATCGGCTGGTAGTCTTCCGGTGCTTCATCGGGACTTGTGTCCGAATCGCTATCGCTAGCGTTGCCTACATAAAAATCTGACTAAATACACAAAAACAATCGAAGATCCAGAGAGTTCCAATTATAATTATGCGAAAACGTAAACAAGGAAATCATCGACAAGATGTACTTTCGATAAAAGCAGTCGAAGGATTTGAGCTAGCGTTCATTGTTATCGAGGAAGACTGATACAAACTTCGGACCCGAAAAAACTTTAAACGGTAAATTTATGCCTGTCCGTTCATGAATGGTCATAATCGAAAGATCTCGGATAAGTCCGATTAAATGTAATTTTCGAGGATTAAAAAGATTAATTTTGTAAAAATAACTGCACCAGCCGGGAATCGAACCCGGGTCTGTACCGTGGCAGGGTACTATTCTACCACTAGACCACTGGTGCTTGTCGAAAGCTCTCTGAAATAATATAGTATACTTAAAATATTCTGTGAGATTTCACCTGCTCCTCCACCACAAAAATCGATAGACGTTGATTTTCAAGCCACGCGTCTAGGGAGGAGGGTGAGGGTGAGCAAGGTGTGGGAGCGGGAAAATGGCATTTCCCATGTTCAGGGCCTCAGTTTCTCAGTCTCAGATTCAACCACTCTTTCATTACTTATCTGCCACCCCTTCACGTGTAGATGAAACTAATAGGAGGAGGAAGATGGTCCTTTCTTGTTCTCATTCCGAAATTAATTCAACTCGGTATTTTGGAATCCACGTTTAGTTTTCCCCCCAGAGCATGATTTTAATAGGGAATTGATTTCTATTTCTGAAATTATAGGTCAGAGGTGTCATTTTCTGTTGGGACTTGCCTCATTCCACATCCAAAGAAGGTAGTGAATACTGTTGGCACGCCTCTTTTCTCCTTAATGCTGATTAATATTCGTCCCATGCCTGTACTGAATGACCTTAAGTGCATAAATTTATCGATTCTGATTTTTGGAACCTGTGCCACTTGCTCAAGTCATCGTCTTTCTAACTTCTAAGGTTGACAGAGGTGGGGAAGATGCTTTCTTTGTAAGCGACTATAATGGGGGAGTTATTGCTGTTGCTGATGGCGTCTCTGGGTATGATACTGAATTGTCCTTTTTACAAATCTCTTATTTTCAACGGACATCAATCATCGTTAAACTAAAGAAACCAAATTGTATCTCAAACTTTTGTAAAACCGAGCAAGACATATATTGCATCCGGGCGAAATTTTATATTACATTGAATTGCCGAATTATCTCAATAGGATTGGTATCTGTTTCATTTGCTTATAATGAGCTAAAAATTATTCTATTTTTATAGCAATGTTTGTTAATCTTTTTTTTTTTAATCAGAAAATAATAATATTTTCCTATTATACTTGCAGCTGGGCTGAAGAGGACGTGGATCCCTCACTATTCCCTCGTGAATTTCTGGCTTATGCTTCCAGTTTTGTTGGGGATGAGGAGGTTGTATGACCTGGAAGCACAAATTGATCATCATAGTTATTATGTTTTGGTTTCCTAGTAAATTTATGCACTGAAAAAAATGAGAAGGTTTATAAATCTTATGCATGTACGGCACTTAACTAAATAACATGTCACTTGTTGATGGAACCATCAGGTGAACTATGATCCTCAGAATCTTATAGGGAAAGCACATGCTGCAACTTCCTCTATAGGATCAGCTACTGTGTAAGCTTAATCCTCCTCCGTCACGAGTGTCAGTTTACAATTTTGAAATGAACTCACATCTTCAATGATCTCACCATATACCTCATTTTTTTCTTCTCTGATAAGCATCGTTGCTATGCTGGAGAAGAATGGGACTCTGAAGATTGCCAATGTTGGGGATTGTGGATTAAGAATTATTCGCAGCGGTAAGATCCAGAGCTAAACGACTACATTGCTATGTGCTAATCTTGTTATCAACATTGTCTTTTGCGATTTTCTCTTCGTTATCTTCCCTATCCTTTTACGTTTTCATTTCTTTCCTTTTCTTTTGTCCTTCTTGGATGATTTCCTTTACTGGATTTTTTTTTTTTTTTTTTTTTGTGGATTCTTACCTAGATGTTGATCACTTAACATTGTCAACGTGCTTGTCCCAGGTCACGTAATCTTTGCCACATCTCCTCAAGAACATTACTTTGACTGTCCATTTCAACTGAGCTCTCAGATGGCTGGCCAAACATGCCTTGATGCAGTGGTACTATTTAACAACCATCTATACCATAATTATGTGCAGGATTTATAACCTATGCTTCTTGAAGTATTACTTTCTTAAGTCAAAATTGTATCATTCAAATTTATGCCCACGTTTCTTTCCTGTTGTAAAGTTACCTCAACGAAGAGAGGAAAGGTAGAGAAAACAAAAACCTAAATATTTCTCTTGCGCACAGGTAGCAACAAATCATCAATGAGGTCAAATTGACGCTTCCCTAGAATAATCTTTTTCTGCAAAACTATATTAAGCATACACTCCTTTTCGCTGTCAAATGAATGTCAGTGAAAATGTTGCTTTTTTCCGGCAGAGACATGTTTGTTTGTTGTTTTACAATACTGATGCATCAGGTGAGTAAGGTGGAGCTGATCGAAGGAGATACAATTATCATGGGATCCGATGGGCTCTTTGATAATGTTTTTGACCACGAAATGGTCTCAATTATTGCTAGTTGCACAGATGTTTCTGAGGCTGGTAGTGTTTTCCCTTGTTGATCAGATAAATATTTTAAATTGACCAATCGACTATTTCTAACTAAAACCTGATTTTGTTGCTAGCAAAGGCATTAGCTAACTTGGCAAGCAATCATGCAAAGGATTCAAATTTTGATTCCCCCTATTCAATAGAAGCTAGATCCAGGGTAAGAGAAGAACTTCATGTTTATTTTAGATTCCATGTGTCATACGAAAATAACTTGACGTTAGAAGATAGGTCTTCAAAAAAATTGTTAGATAGAGGATGTTGACGTTGTTCTGAGCTAAAAGATGCAGAAAACGTTTTTACCATGTGTTATGTATTCTTAAACATATCGAGCAGCCTTTTAATTTTCTTTGACAAACTGTTTTTTTGTCTTGCTAATAATAACCACTTAGCAGGGCATTGAAGTTCCATTTTGGAAGAAGATTCTTGGAATGAAGCTTATAGGTATGTTGTCAACAGCTATAATTATATTACTAGTGCCAGCAGAACAGGCCAAAAGAAAGTACAAGCAGAAAAAGTTTTTCCCTGCATGGAGCTGATCGCATCATTTTACTGCAACAGGTGGAAAGGTAGATGATATCACTGTAATTGTTGGGCAGGTTGTGAGTTCGTGAGATTTTCTGATCCCTGAGGATGACGAAGAATTTGTTCTACTCAGGAGTTAAAGTGAAGCTCTCATTGGAGCATAGATTTTTCTTTTCTTCTTTGTTGAAAGTCTAAAGTAGAAGAAACCTTGGAGACCCGAATTGTTGAGAGCTGGCGTACTATGAACACTTGAATTTTATTTTCATTGAAATGAAGAACACATTTAATTAATTAAAAAGTGAGAGTGCAGGGCACTGGCAAATTTCCAAATTTTTCATTTGGAAAAGAACCACTGATGAACGCTGAAATAAATGAAGATGCAAGAAAAATAACAACTTGAATTTCTTGATGCTCTGAATAATAAGGATTTATTAATGGACGTACTCCTGCTTTGGCAAGAAGTTATACCTCATTCATTGTACACGTAAAATGGAGCGTGAAATAAAGCCAGACGTGTAAAACAAGAAACGATAAAAGAAGACAGAGAAAATTATATTATAATATTACAAAAGTTTAAATCGTGTAAAGTTAGGACAAAATAGAATCTATCCTAAAAAAATCTGATGTTTCCCGCATAAGCAAATAAATGACGGATATTACAACACATTCATCTCAAAGGCGGTTGCTGAACAATGAAAAATATACTTCAGCTGCTTTATTTAGTTGACAGTATCAGTTGTCCTGTCTTTGATTGAACTCTTGGAAAAACCCCTTTCCAGCTTCATATGTAGACCAGCAAATTGCAGCCGCAGGAGCATGGAATAGCATCCTAGGAATCCATCCTCGCATGAGCCCTCTGTACCCATCCTTTTTCACTATAGTTTTAACAACATCCCCAATTGAACCACTCTTGAATCTATCACATCCGCAAACACCCTGCACCATCAGTGGCCGAGTTTAGGTCAATGCATGCCCAGAAAGGGGGGGGGGAGAAATGGGCTAGGGCTTGTAGAAAATTGTTGAGATAATGGCCTGTTCATTTAGTTTCATTTACTACCATTCTAATAACTGGGATACCGAATACTTTATAACACGGAAGTTGCTGCACGGTCAAACTCATGAAGGAATCATGACATAATTGTATGAACCCGAATCTCATTCTGAGCCCTTTCCTTTCTGGCTCCTAATAAAAATTCAAAAACCCCCCCCAAGGAAGAGGGGAGATGACATAAATATAACTAGAGAAATCTTATCAGCCACTGGATTTACGGATGTTTCTATAAAAGGAGCTACCCCTGCAGACATCATCAGCTTGAATTTGGTTCATGCGATTCCCCTTTGTCAAAAGAATTGGTTCATCAGCTCGATTTTCAGTTTCTTGTCGATTAGACATCTCTGAAATACAAAGAGGGCATGCTATAACCAGGGCATCGTGGAATAGAACCATGCAAAAACTTTTACTTTTTTGGTGGAACCAACATTACCAAAATAGAAGCTAATAAAACGTCCCTTTCCCTTATCCGCTCTTGGCAACCCATATAATTCGCTGCTTATAACTAAAAGATACATTATAAGCGGATAACACATTAGACGGATTTATACTCACCCTTCCCTACTCTTAAGAGTTACAATTTATGAAAAAGACCACAATAGTTATTCCTAAATGGTGCATAAGAGACAACGGCACTGGAACCGATTTCGGAAATATGTTCCGTTGTCGAGTCTCAGGTCATAAAATCCCATATATATATATATATATATTGGTCGCATTGGTGTTCTCAAGTTGGATAAAATATTGTTGTTTTCTTCTTTTACCCCCTTCTAGGCACAAATTTTATAGCGAGCTCAATGTTCAAATCTTGAGCATTGCATATCAGACTATACTCAACTATGACAAACTTAGGTTGACAAGGGCAGGTAACAAGTCCAATCAAACAAAACAAAACGAAAAAATAAACCAAGTCCAATCATTGCTTGTTCAGACTATCAAGCATTAGGTTTAAAAGAAATTTATACCTGACACTGCAATTGAGTTTTGACCACATCAAGCGGTGTGGTAAGAGCAGCAGCCAATGCACCAGCAGCAGCTCCAGCAGTTGCATGAACAACCAAACGTTCATCATCAGCACTCTGAGGCGAAATTTCCTTGAGGCCTCTTTTTGTAGCCTCATAAGTTGCAAAATGCACTGCTGTAAACGGGGCGTTCATCACAACTGTAGTCCTATAAGATGCATAAAATGCCCCAAACCCCTCCTCGCTCAAAACCCTCTTCACACAGTCCCAAACACCCTTGTAACCACTATTACTCAATTGCAATCTCTGCTTCACCATATCCATGGGCGTAAAGACAGCATCGCTCACAACAGTAGCGCAGACACCAGAAATCGCATGAGCAGTGGAGTTTTTGGGATCCCCATGGGAGAAGTACTTCTTACAAACTTCATAAACGGAAAAATACACAGCGTGTGCTGGTCCAGCACCAAGACCCATAGCGCCTATCCCTCGGTATAGTGCAGATGGACCCTCAGATTTCAAAATCGATTGAAGGGCTTGACGAACGCTGACGGACTTAATTGGGCAAGACCCAAGAGCTTGCATATGGGTCTTCACGGTATCGACGGGGAACATTGCCATGTGCTCGACGGAGCCGGCAATGGAACCGGCGATCATGAACTGCCAAAAATGGAGGCCGTCGTGAGGTGACTCGGCGAGCTCTGGATGGAAATCTGGCGGCTGCGGAACTGGCCGAAAATCGGGGTTCTGGAATTTGGCCGTCACGTCCGTGGCCATGAATAGGCTTTGGATTGTAGGCAGAAAAGGAGAAAAATTGGACTCCGATTCTGCCCCCAAATCCAGAAGCGTGACTGGCAACTGACCCTTTCAGGTTGTATTCTTGTGAAATCTTGATGTGAAAGACTATGAATATTGCAGGTTTGCAATGGATTTTTAATGGAAGGGACTCTTCAACAATAAACAGTTATCGCATAAGAGAGAAGCCTAATCGAAATCCCAAGAATCGGGAGAACCGAATGACGGATTAAAGGATACTCTCCTCGCCTTCCTTGAGGATTGAACTTTCAGAAGTCAAGTAGGACACGGTGTTGAATGTAGCTGGAGATTTGGTTTTGGAACCTTGTCGTTTTCGGTTGCACGAAAAAAATCAATTTTAGGGTTAGGAAAATTGGGGATTAGGGTTTTATCTTATCTCCTTAAATAAGCTCATTGCGAGGAAACGTTGTTTCATGTGTTTAAAATATTTTTCATTGTATCATTTACCGGAAAAAATATGAATATATCAAGTTAATGTTGTATATTTGAAAATATTTAGATAATGTTGGCTTTTTTTTAAAGGATGTTACAGGAAAGTTAAAGAATTTCAAAGCTGAATAATGCTTTAATTTATCATCAAGCACGTACACTTTGGAAAAGATAATAAATGGTACACTTCACCATTTAAAAAAGGAATGACTAAATTATATATTAATAAAAATAAAAATACTTAAAAAAAAAAAAGTCAAATTGTTCTTGTTGATAGTTTGGGTGAATATGACTAAGCTTCTAATCACGTCATACTTTATCCTATCACAATCTTGTTAAATTAACACTTAACTGATCTCTTGATACGAGTAACACAGTTATTTTCAGTATAAACAAAAATCACCAATGAACACAATTTGTTAAAACTAAATCATCTATATGCTCCAGGTCAAAAAAAAAAAATCGTCTATATACTAAAACTTTTCATTTGACGGTGATTGAATACTTATCCTTTTTTGCGGTCCCAGGATTCCAGGAGAAGTATTCTTTCTTTCAAAAGGAATGAGAAAGACTTTTTTTTTTGGGTGGAATAAGAAGGACTGAAGAAAAGTCAAAAACAATTTAAAGAATAACAAATATGTTGAATGGATATAAAACTCATCTGAAACCAAGGAGAACTAGGAGATAGTGGGGAAAAAAAATATTATATTGTATTATATTAATAGGTAACTCACGTGCAGTAAAACTGATTGTGCACGCACAAGTGTTGGGCCAATATCTATTAGTTTGTAACAGATTGTTCTTTAGATTAATAACGGACTGGACTACCTGCAAGCCCATCATCATGCTGTCACAATTTAAAAAAAAACCGTCTAAAACAATGTCCTCGTTCAGATTTTAGAAGCAAATTACGACTTGACGGCCGAAACAGGAAAGGGAAATTAGGAATTGAAAATGGTGGTAGGCTTGACAACAATTACAACCTTTTTTATTTATGTTTCTATGGGCCAATGGCATAAAAAATGTTTTGAGGGCCAGACGATATTTAAGTAGTCACTGCAAGGACTTGTCTGGTATATAAAATAAAGAAAAAAATAATCATTTAATCTGCATAAGTTTGACTAGATCGTAATTTAATATTTAAATTTTTATTTTTTAATTTTATCTTAACTCAATTATAATTTAATTTCTATAATTTTAATTATTTAAAATTGTGGTCCCTGTATATTAGAAAATAAAATTATAAAAACTAAAGTTATTTTGTAACTTACAAACTAATATTTTAAATTATTAAAATTAGAGAAATTAAGTTGTGAATTGTGATGAGTTAAAAATTAAGAGTTAAATTACATTTAAGTAAATTAAAATTTAAACACTAAATTACAACGAGTTAAAACTATAAAATTATATATTTAATTTCTCCCCAAAATAAACTAAAATGATTAAAAAATATTTTATGAGTTTATTTCTAAAAATAGTGAAATTACTGATTAATGAGTATAAGGATACAATAAATTTTACAAGTCTCTCTTAATGATACAACAAGTTCTGCAGACTATTTTAAAAGTAGAGCTGGAGCCGTTTGAGTCCTTTTTTTTTTTAATTTTAAAAGATATCGGGTTTGGAAAATCAAGAACTTTTTAGTATAAATGGGATTAAAAAACATGCTTGAGAAGCCTGTTTAAGCTTTGTTTTTCACCTCTAAAAAAATATTTTAAATTTTTAAATTAAATTTAAACAACAGAATATATATGTGTGTGTGTTTGTATTTTAAAATTATAATTTATATCACTTATTTTAAATTTAAAAATAATATATAATATTATAATGTAAAAGATAATGATTAAAAAAATTTAAAATAAAAGGTTCTTATGACTTTAAATCTAAAAAAATGAAGAGCTAAGCTTGAAAAAATGATCAATTTCATTATAACCATATTTTGGACTTAAGCCCAACAGGTCTAGACCTGCCCGGCTCTGTTTAAAATTTAGAAAAGAAAATAATACTATGATTTCTGCTTTGGAAACATCATGTACACGT